CTGTGGTGTTAGTGGGACCCATGCAGACCACATCTGAGGGGTCGTGCCCTCTGGGGAACTCGTGAGGGGGATGGTAGTGTTAGCACAATTTGTGCTGGGCCACTAGCCCTGTCCTATGGGGAATCTCCCAAAGCATTTGGGGACTGTGTGCCAGGCTGGCCAGGGGAGTGAGGTGGGCACAGCTGGGCCTGGTGCACGATGGCAAGGGCATGCTGTGGCAGCTGTGCCCTCAGTGGCTGGGCGGGCATGTACACTAACAAAATTTGCCCTAAGGCCATGGCTAGCAGGCTTAGAGTGGATAAGTCCTCTGGAGAGCTCGTGGGTGTGGTGCCCCTGCCAGCTGGTTAGGTAGCAAGTGTCTATGCAGTGCTGCCTCCCGCAGGTGGCTCTGTTTATGCTGCAGGTTGGTGGCAGTGGGGAGGGGCGTGGAGAGAATGGCATCTGCCAGCTCCCTTGTTTTCAGGGAAGTCCCCCAACACACTTCAGAATCAATGGGAATGGATCTGTCTCCCATTTGCCCCCAGTGTTGTGTTGTGAAAATTGCCGTTTTTATGTGTTCTTGGCTCAGCCTGCTCTCTTTAAGGATGGCGACCCAGCTTTCATTCACCCTCACCCTGGCTCACCCAGTGTTGAGTCAGCTGACTTTTAGAGCTTCAGGCTCCAAGTCCCACTGGTTTTAAAACTCTTGGAATTCAGCCCTGTTTTTAAAGCCAAATGTTATGGGGATCATTCTTCGACATGTGAGCTCCCTGGTACGAGGGCCCATTTTTCTCTCTCCTGCACACAGCCCTCGCCCTCCTGCCGGCAGCCTCCCTCTGCCTTTCTGACCTTCCTGACCTTTCAGATGCAGCTTCTTCTCTATATTTAGTTATAGAATGTGTTGCTCCAGTCTTCAGATTGCATTCCTGCTTATTGACTTGGATGTAGTTAAAATCTGGTTGTAAATGTGGGGACAGGGAGAACTCAGGGGCCTCCTGCTCTGCCATTTTCCCACAGACTGTGCATGTCTTTTGAGTTTATTCTACGTGGATGTCACTGAGCTTCTTGGATGTGTAGATTTCTGTCTTTCATCCAGTGTGGGAAGTTTTGAGCTATTAATCCTTCAGGTATTATCCCTGCTACTCTCTCTCTCTCTGCTTGTCCTGTCCCCCCGGGAGTCCATAATGCGTATGTTGATGATATCCCACAAGTCCCTTAGGCTCCGTTCATTTTTCTTCATGTTTTTCCTTTCTGTTCCTCAGACTGGACAATTTCAGTTGTCCTGTCTTGGACTTCACTGATTCTTTCTTTTGCCTGAACGCTTCTAGAGAATTTTTCATCTCAACTTGCATACTTTTCAGTTCCAGAGTTTCTATTTGGTTCCTTTCAATAATTTCTATCTCTTTATGGGTAGTGTCTTTTTTGGTGAGAAATTGTTCTCCTGGTTTATTTCAGTTCTTTGTCCATAGTTTCCATTAGCTCTTTGAGCATATTTAATTAGGTTTTTTTTCTAGAGAGTCCAGGGCTGGACTGGGCTTCCTTAAGGCCAGTTTTTGTTGATTTTGTTTCCCTACAAATGGGCCATACCTTCCTGTTTTCTTTGTATGCCTTCCAATTTTTTGTTGAAAACTCTTCATTTTGAAATTACAATGTGATAACTCTGGAGATTAGATTCTCTTCCCACCCCAGGGTTTGGTTGAGGACTGCAGTTATCTGTTTAGTGCCTTTACCAAACTGTTTTTGCAAAAACTGTTATTTCTTGTCATGTGTAGTCACTGAACTCTCTGTTCTGTTGTCTCAGTGGTCAGCTAGTGACCTGACGGATTTTCTTAAACAACTGGAGCCAAAAAAACCAATAATAATAATAATAATAATAATAATAACAACAACAACAACAACAACTAAATTTTTTTTAAAAAGACACAAAACAACTTTCCCAGTCCTTGCACATTGGCTCTGAGCAGGGTTACTTCGTCAGTTCTAAGCCAGGCCATCTGTAACTCTGCCTTAGCCTTCACCTCTTCCTTGGGTACAGCTCAAAGATCAGCCAGCAGTGCAAACCTAGAGTTCTCTCACATCTTTTCTAAACATGCATCTAGCCCTGGGAATGTGCAGTACCTTCTGGATGCCCCAGTATATGTGATAGCCCTTGAAAGCCATCACTCTTCCAGGAGTCGTCTTCTTCAGCCTCTTCCTTCCCAGGCCTTTAGGTCTGTCTGCTGTATATTCCATCCACCATCTCCCTTACACCAGGTGACTATGGGTAACATATATCTTTAGATGCTTTCATCAGATGTCACCCCGAAAGCCACTTTGGCCTAATAAGGTGGGCAACACAAAGGTCAGCCTCTGTACCAGTCCTCAGGGAACCACCACACAGATCAAAACGCACAACCACGGGTGTTTTAGAAGGTCCGTATTGTTTCCCTTAGCACCAGCAAGCCATGCTGGGAACACAGGTTGCCATCTGCAGAGCCTCTGCCCAAGCTGTGGAATGGGGATTTGTAGATAGGTAAGGAAAAAATGCTTTCTTAGTGAAATTTAGCAATTTCTTTCTTCAGTCAGTGTCCTCCTGGTTGCTATAAGGTTTTTATTAGATTCCAGAATTCTAAAAAGCAGATTCTGTTTTTGCCAGCTTAATGATTGCTTCAGTGGAAGGACTAATTCTTAGAGCTCCCTGTTCTGCCATTTCTGTCACTCCCCCAGCCCTAATGTTTTTGGTTTGCTTTCAGCAGCTTAAAACAACAAATATTTTATTATTCCCTATAGCTTGTGAGGGTCAGGAATCAGTTTGCCTCTTAGCTGGGTGGTTCTGTCTCAAGGTCCCTCACAAGTTTGCTTTCAAACTTGTAAGCCAGGGCTGTAGTCATCTCAAGGCTCCACTGGGGCTGGATAATTCACTTCCCAGCTCAGTCCCGTGGTTGTTGGCAGGCCTCACTGCCCGCTGGCTGCTGGCTGGAGCTTCGTTCCTTTACCGCACAGGCCTCTGCGCAGTGCTGTTCACAGCATGGCCTGGTTTCCCCCGAGCAGGAGCTCCATGAGAGAAAGATGTCTCCCCAGTGTTTTTTATTGTTTTAATTTTTTTTTTTTTGGATGCTTTTGGTGTTTTTTATACAACCCTGAGATGATTGTACTCTTCTTGAATGAGAGAGCAAATTTGAACCCAGATTCAACTGGGTTGAATTCAACTCCCAACTCTTAGTGGAGAGGAATTGGCTTGTCCTTTCCCAGAGGCATTGCCACTGTGTGTGTCACTCAGCCTTAGAGGTGGAACCAGGAGACCCCGAAAAATTTCACACAACCTTGGAGTGGATCAGCAGACCCTTCCAGGTGACCTTCTCTTATCTCCTCTCCCTCAGACTTCCTGCCCTTCCTCACTCAGAAAGCTATGAAAATAAGCTTTCTGGACATCCAGGCCCTTAAAGATGACACTATAACCTACTTCCCCATCGTGTACCCTTATAGATGTATTTGGTGGTTTGTTGTATGGAGGAAATGTGTCCTTTTTGGTTAAAAAAAAATGTGAGAGAGAAGTACGTGATTCTTCTGGAAGGCATTGTACTAGGTAGGCACAGAGGACTGCAAATGTGTATAGAACAGTGTCTTCTCTCAAGTAGCTTATCATATAGAGAAGGAAATAGAATAGGGCATTGGTAAAATATAAAATATCATGGGGCACCTGGGTGATTCAGTCGGTTAACCTTCCAGCTCTTGGTTTGGGCTCAGGTCATGATCTCACGGTTTGTGGGTTCGAGCCCTGCATCGGGCTCTGCACTGACAGCACAGAGCCCGCTTGGGATTCTCTGTCTCCCTCTCTCTGCCCCTCCCTGCTCACACATGTCCTTGCTCCTTCTCTCTCTCTCAAAAATAAATAAGTAAACATTAAAAAAAAAAAAAAAATCAGGCAGCATTTGCCCCAGAACAGTGGTTGCCACAGTATTGATAATGGCAGATGCTTACATTCTCCTAAAATAATAAATATGAGAAGCAGAAGGAAAATATGGAAGTGGCTAGGAAAGAAAGTGAAAGATCTTTGTGATTGTATGTGTTCTTCAGATCTAGTAACATAATTCACGACATAATGATTTTTGAGAACTTTTGCTGTCCTGCTCACAGGACAGAATCCTACTCATTAGTAATCACACAGTTTTACCCTCATTTAATTTCTTGTTACCATACAAAAAGACCATTAGCATCCGTGTGTTTTTTATTTGAAAAAGTAAAGTAGGTTTGTGTTCACAGTTTTTGTATCCACTTTTCTAATATCATTTCAGTATTTCCAGAGGGGTTCATAAAATGAATTAGCCATTGGATCATAATAAGAATAGTAATGCAAACTGAGCCTACCAGTTTCTAGGTGCCATTTGTTCTTAAAGATGACAACGATACTGGTGTTCTTTTGTCGGAATGGATGCATCTGGAAGACAGAGTTGGGGGTAATCGGATTGTTAGCCTCTTACAAGATGACCTTTTCTTGGCAAGCGCATCTCTCCTCTAATGGATGCTACAGGCAGGTGTTAAATATCCCAAGTGAGGGTAATTCTGCCTCTTCTCTTAGGTGATGATTGGAATTGGAAAGAGAAGAATGTGTACGCAAGATTTTTTTTTTCTTTTTTACGTTATTCAGATCTTAAGCTTGCAGTGGACTGGAGCTTGACCTATGTGTAATAAGAATGGGCTTGCTCTGGAAAACTGTCCCTACATCCTAAAATACATTGAAATCAGAGCAGCCTATACTCATTTTTATACAGAGGAATTAAACTGTGGATTTTTCTTTTTGTGTAGTTTAGACTATTACAGTTACAGTTTCATATCTACTCTAGTTATACAATTTAATTATTTCAACTAGGGCCTTAAATTTTACTTTTTGCCCTTCCAAAATATAGTCCATATTATCTCTTTCATTAATATGTTTCCAATTTGAGTATGTTCTTTTCTCCTTCTTTGTTGTCTACAAACTATGTTTTCATTTTTTTAATGAAAAGTGAATTCTGAATTTTCATTTACTTTTCCTTTCTTAGACAATTAAATCCCACACGGAAACAGATGAGAAACAAACAGAGAGCCGTACCATCACTCCACCTGCTGCACCCAAACCAAAACGGGAGGAGAACCCTCAGGTAGGCTTAGCCCTCCAAAGGCATGGCTCAGTCTATGAGATGTGACTTATTCTCATAAACCAGGAGAGACACCTGCCCTCCGAATCACTTGATTTTCCTTTTCTTGTGCTTCCACACGACTCAGTAATGTTATTGCCAAGTCAGTTTGGCCTAAGGTAGATTGAGTGGGTCCTGGCGTGTCCCTGAGCTGGCATACAGACATTTCATGCACGTGTTACAAATTTGAAATGTAAGATTAGTGATCATTTTCCCAGGTATCCGATTGCATTCCTCATGATAATTATGTGTTGTCTCAGCCAGCATTTCTTTTTTTTTTTTTTTTAATTTTTTTTAACGTTTATTTATTTTTGAGACAGAGAGAGACAGAGCATGAATGGGGGAGGGTCAGAGAGAGGGAGACACAGAATCTGAAACAGGCTCCAGGCTCTGAGCTGTCAGCACACAGCCTGACGCGGGGCTCGAACTCACAGACCGCGAGATCATGGCCTGAGCCGAAGTCGGCCGCTTAACCGACTGAGCCACCCAGGTGCCCCTCAGCCAGCATTTCTAAGAGGTCCATACAGTTCACTCAGCTGAGGTCTGCTTATGTTATTGATTATAGTTGTTAACATGTGCACTTTTGTTACTACTGTTATATTGCACCAGATTCTCAAATCCCAGATAAACCAGTAGCCTAAAAGGAGTTCATTGAAGCATAAAAGTAAGGATGAAAATAGTGACATATGTACCATAACTTAGGATAGAATTATAGAGTCACATAGTAAACAGGACTGGTACAAATACAGAATGTAAATTCACGTGTCCCCTTAGACGAGAGAATTTTTTAGTTTGGCTTTTGCATAAGCAGCTCTAAAAGAAAAATGTGTGCAGGTAATACGATGATGAAGATATAATAGTTGGATTTTATTAGACCAGCACTCTATTTCCCTGTATCCTCAGTGCATTCTTTTTAATGAAACCATTCAGATCGTGGCAGGAAGCCATCAAAGCTTCATGTCCTTTTTTTAAAAGCAGTGATTTATTGGGTGCAGGTTTTTCTAAAACAAGTATAAATTATAATTCTTTCTGATATGAAATGGATTAATTTTTAATATATCTTTGAAAAAGAGACCAAAACTTGAGCCAGAAAGAAGGACCAGTGATGCAAATTGCTGAGGAACTTATGAAGTCATCCAGAAAATTATCAAAGGAAACCAAAGGATATCTTATGTTAGTTGCCCAGTGTGGGCAAGCAAGTACCACCATGTGTAGTCATGTATATTTCACCTTCTGACTGGTGAAATCACTGCCATAAAGAGAATAAATTAGTTCTTGGCACACGTGTGATACATAGATGAGGCAAAAGTTCTTGACAACTTTTTATTCTCTTTATCACTGAAAATCTGTTCCAGACGAGAGGAGATTTTTTTTTTTTTCACTTAATAATTTTTTGTGAGCTTGATCTAGACTGGCAAAGATGAGTTGGATGTGACTGGCCAAGACGAGTACTGTTACTTGATCAAAAGAAGCTGCCTCTGAATGTCAGTCCACATACTGTTTTATTAACAGAGAACAGTTGGCAGACAGCCTTCTAATCTTGATTAGGTTGTGAAGAATATTCGTGGAAAGCAGGAATGTAGTTAATTGGCAATCACAAAATGTATGCTATTTCAGCATGGCAGCAAGTCCCAAGAGTGCTTTTCCTTGCTGACGTACCCTGGCTGTCAGGGGGATAGGTGCCCACCTGTTTTTTAAATAAGAAATAAAATAAAAACATTTCTTCAGAACTCTGAGGATACCACTAAAGGACACTTCTGTGTTCTCAAGTGCCTTGTTCAGGGACTGTTTCTTCCTAAAACGCTCAGTATCTTAAATAGCTTGAACCTGTCACTTCAGGCCAAAATATCATTTGTATTGAATGTTGAGGGTTGAATAGATCCTGTTGCTGTTGAATAGGTCGGGATTTTTAAAGACCAAACTATGATATAAACAACTGTACAGGAATATGTCTCCTAACAACTGCTGATGTTCTCTGTTATCTGTGAGAGAAATTGATGATGTATTATTTGGCGTAGATAGCAACCACAGGCAAAGATGTGCTTTCTAGACCACATGTAACCACAGAGCAAAACAGGAATCAGTATGTTGCTCCCTCCAACTTTAAGCGTCTAATGCTCCAGCTTTGGGGTTCAGTATTCTAATCAATTTAACTTCTGATGGAGCCCTGAGAGTGGTCTCCAAAGAGAGACTGCTCTGTAATTTTTAGGTCCACGTTTCATTTAAAAATCATAGTATTAAGCAGAACCATCTGCTGTTGTCCCTAAAACTCATTTAGCCTGAAGTTAGCACTGTCCGGTCATTGGTAGTAAAAATGTTAGAACCCTTGACCTGTTAGGACAAGTGAAGTACTTGGAATTTGGAGCTTGTTGTATGGGAAGCTCTTTGTAACCCTCTGCATGTTGTTGAGTGTGATACCGTCTTCCTATCTAAGAGGCTTTTTGGAAAACAACAACTACAACAACAACAAAAAAACTTAGGTCACTCAAAGATACTGATCTCTGTCATTGAGAAAGTGGAACATGCAGGTCCCAGTCCTTCTCTTTTGATCCCCATAAGACCAGAAAGCCTCCAGAGTGGCTCTAGAAGGTGTTTGTTCTTTGGTCACCTGATCTCGGCCTCCTTCAAGTGACCAGCCTGTTGGACTGGCTTTGCCTAGGAGTCTACCTAGGAACATGCAGTTGGCTTTGTGAGAACCCAAACTGAAACACATTCTTGTTTCTCTGGCACAGAAACTTGCCTTCATGGTGTCTCTAGGATTGGTAACACATGACCATCTAGAAGGTAAGAGAAGATATTTGTGGTGCTGCCTTATTTCTGGCCCAGAGCTTTATTCTTGAAAATGGGGTTGACTTAAAAAAAAAAAAAAGAAAGAAAGAAAGAAAGAAAATGGGGTTGACTTTATTGCTAAGATATATAGAACACTGAAATGCCAACAGAGTATGATTCAACTAGTGTGGACTTTATTTCCTTTGGAGTCAAACATGCCTTTCCTCTATCTAATATTCATCCCTTCCCCTCCCTGTGGTGATCCACGCTACTGTCCAGGGGAGACTCCCCACTTGCCTGGATTAAAGCGACTTTTTTTTTTTTCCTGACCGCATGGAGTATCAAATGCCCCTCTGACAAGTCTCTGTCTGTATTTTTCAGTCACGCTAGGTTATCAGAATCCTAAGAACAGTTACAAGGCTATACCTGTCCTAGTCATTTAATTCAAGAATGGTGAACTATGGTTATTCAGTCCAGGTCTATGGATGAAGTTCATCCACCCCTATATTAAAGTTATCTAAAAATAGATGAGGATAGCTTATTTACACACGCTGTCCACTGTTAAGCTCTTGGTCACAGAGAGCCACATTATACGACAGCATGGTCTCGCTTTCTGAGAGGTGAGCATAGATGGTCCTGCATTATTTGCTCCCAGTGGTATGCTTGCCTCTGCTGAGGCTGCAGTGAAACAAAGAGATTTGTCCCATTTCTGATTTGTCCTGGGAAAGCCAAAAGATAAAAAATGAAGTTAAATTTTTGAGGCTCTCCATATCTCTTTTCTAATTCAGACCTTTTGCTTTCCCAAGAAATCCAAAGCAAGAGGCAAGAGCGAAAAAGAAGAACAACAGCCAATCCAGTATACAGTGGAGCAGTCTTTGAGCCAGAGGTATTCCTGGCCAGAGCTTGGCCCTTCCTGTTCTAGTTTTGTTTATGATTTTTTCCATCACCTCCCATCTGAAAACCTGCTGAAGAGCAGTACCCTGATTGTACTTGGCCCGCTTTGTGAAATGATGGGTTTTTCTCCAGCTGATCATCCTGTTTCATTTTTATTATTCACTGCTTTCCCCTTAGTTTTTTTCCCAAGTTTGAGCAAATACAGACCCACCTTAAAAATGTCACTCCTCTTGGCTTCAACTCAGCCGTCATCTGAAGCAGAGGCAGACCTCTCTGGAATATTCTCTCAGGGCCAAGTATATATAATAAAGCCCATTTAGCACTGAGACCTTGGGTTGACTAGCACTAACTCGTTGGCATGTTGACAGGCGTGCTACGCCTGGTCTATAGCTTGTGCCAGTATCGGTAGTAACCGTGCTATTCAACCAGTTACCTTTCCTTCTTCAATCCTCAAAGCGTAAGAAGAGTGCAGTCACATACCTGAACAGTACAATGCATCCTGGGACCCGGAAGAGAGGTGAGTACCTTTTTGTAGCTCTCCCTTGCTGTTGCTTCTGCTTTCTGTGTTGTGTTTCTCCCCCCCCCCCCCCCCGCCCCTTCCTCCCCTTTGTCCTAGAGCCTAACTCCTAAATCCCTTGAAAATAGTTTTGTTATTGTCATTCTCTGAAAATGGGTGGGGGGAAGACAGTGAGATTTCTTATTAGCGTTCTGTATACTGAATCAAAAGTTGCCTTTCCTTGGATTCTGGCAAGGCTGACTCAAGGAGGTGGCTTAATACAGCATTTCTGCCCCAGGCCCACCAGGCTGTCCTTGAATAGCACAGGGAACAGAACATTGTGCGAAAGGAAGCATTTTAGCATCATTGAGCATAACAGAGCACTGCTGTTGCCAAGGTGTTCTTAGTAGCGTCTAGGTCATCCTGCTGCCAGTGAGACCAGAGCATGACTCAAGTTTCTGTGAGCCGCAGACTTTCCAGGAAGGAGAGAGGTGGCCACACCAAGAACTTAGGATCTAGGAGTTGAGGGCATCTCCAGCTAAGGAAGAGAAGGTCGTTGTCAAAACTGGCTCCCCGAGGCAGAAGTTCCTAAAGAGCTCCATCCCCATATTTCAGACCTCCCAGGGTGGGCATTGCACCTTAACTCGTGGGCAGAGGCCGCAACACCCTCCATGCAGGTCTAAATAGGTCTTGATAGCTCAGAGTTTGAGCTCATAAACAAGGTTCTGAAATTGTACTTTGATGTCAGTAATACATCCCAAGGTCCCTTTCTCCACATGATAATGTGTCCCTGAATTATAGTTCCAGGCTAGAAAGGTTGCAGAGTGAGTGGAGTAGCATACTAATTTTTGCATATGCACACACTGTCTCAGGAGCGGTTGGAAACTTAGGAGGTCATCCACACTCTTTTCTTTTGTCTTCCTTAGTCAAGGCTACAGCTGTACCATTACCACGTCCTTACCCGAAAGAGATAGCGTACCCACCCTCAGTGACCCATTCTAACGTTTCATTAGCCCTGTCCTTTAAGTAGCCAAAAATATTTCCAAGGGAAACCCCAAGTCATTGCCTCCTGTCGATTCCTGGGTCACAGTAACCAGTGCCGTGGGTTATTTTTTGTGGTTTTAATTTTGGCAATTTTTAGTCACCTCTGACCCGGTTCTCAGAAAGGAGCCCTCAGTCCAAAGCCTCAGTTAATTGGTCTGCCGGTGGGGAGTATCTGCTAAGAGGACGGGGGTTAAGCAAGCCAGAAAGACCTTGGCATTGCTTGCCAAGGTCAGAGGATGAAAGCCTGTATTCACAATGCCTAGGATGTGCTTCTGAGGGTAAACAAAGAACATTCATCTTTTACTTCCCTTTTGGGCAGCCCTGATTCCCTAGGAAAGACAGCCTGTATGATCTTTGTACTGCAGACATCACCAGTTTAACACAGATAGGTAATATTCGTGTAATGTCTGACAGAACCGTGGCTCTGATGCGTAGTCCTGATATAATTTATAACTGTTGGTAAGGTTCTGATCCTCTGCACCATTCACCAGTGCTCGTAGGCAGTTGTGAGCCTCTCTGGCATTTTTTTTTTTTTCCTCCTCTTTTCCCTTTGGTGTGCTGAGCATATACTTTTGATCACCCAAAGCTTAGAAGCTCTGATCCTGGCCCTTCTGACAAGGATCCTGGCTTGGATGTACCATAAGGCAGGAGTGAGTAGTTGACCAGTCTTGCCATAGCCAGTAGGGTCCGTTTATAGATCCTCTGGAGCCATGAGGCTTGATTCCCAATGCCCTGGCTCAAATCCGTCTTTCAGCAGTGTTGCTGATGGCAGGGCCTTTTCTGAGCTTTGGTAATAGACCCAGGTCCTTAGACATGTAGTTTACCAGAATGTTTGTGATGGAAGCGGGGAGACAGTTTTTGATCAACCGGGGATGGTATCTGACTCCAGACACACTTAAAATCACTGTTAAGCTCAGAACATCTTTTTAGCTCTCAGGTTCCAGCTAATCCCAGAATATCTTTCCCGCTAGCTCAGCCAGCAAGGGGTAAGAATAGTTAACTTGAATTTTGCCTCCTGTTTGCCTTTCTCCACCCTCACAGGCAGTGAAGTGACCAAAATATAGATAGGAGAGAAAAGGAAAAACAGAAATCTTAAATATATCTATGGGAACTGGGAATCACTAATTATTGTGAGAATGATGGTTACAGAGAAACTTTGGAGACCAATATTCAGAAGGTGTGGAAAAACAAATTCTTATTCCTAGCTTTGACCCCCGTTGAACTTTGACATCTTGTTCTCACATCAGAAATCTCAAATTGTAATAGTCCAGGGACGTCACCATGATCTGCCCCAGGCGAGGCCCTTTAACATGACGCAGCCACTCCTGTCATTCTCCAAGGCTCTCTTATCCTCCTTTCTTTTGAGACTCATGCAGTTGTTTCTAATGACATTTAAATCTTTGCTTCCCTTCCTCTCTTTGGGACTGTTGTATTAACCTCTGTCTGCTACCTCACTTCCTTTTCCATGCTAGCCAATGAGGAACACTGGCCAAAGGTATGTAAGATCATTTTTCCCCCTTTCTTTCCCTCCCCCTTTTTCCCTTTTGTTCCCTTCTCTTGGTATATAGGTCGTCCTCCAAAATACAATGCAGTGCTGGGGTTTGGAGCCCTTACCCCAACATCCCCCCCATCCAGTCATCCTGACTCCCCTGAAAATGAAAAGACAGAGACCACATTCACTTTCCCTGCACCTGTTCAGCCTGTGTCCCTGCCCAGCCCCACCTCCACAGACGTAAGTAACTTGGGAAAAGCACGCTGTCTTCCTGAGAGTTTAAATTGGGGAAACCGTTGTCATATGTTGTCTCCTTACCAGCTGCATCTCCTTGACTAACCCTGGAACAGCAGTAATCCCGACAGGACACGGTATATCATGTAAGGTCCTGCCATGTCCTTGAGAATCATGTACAACATCAGGAGGCTCAATCGGTTTTTAAAAATGTGGATTTGATCTGCTGTGAATGAGCTCTCAGGAAGGGGGATGGGGTGGGAAGTCAGCTCATAAAATTGAAAGGTGCTCAGTTTTCCATCGTCCGTGTTTTGGGATGAGGAAAATGAACAAGGCGTACGTTCCCCTAGCAGTCCTTGTTTCCTGCTTCAGGTAGAATTCAAGAAGTGGAAAACTTTTCTTTCAAGTAACTTTATTCATCAGGTTTGATCAAACACGTTCCTGAAAAAGTGTCGGATATTTAGTAGCTCATCATGCAGATAGTACAGAATTGTAAACTAGTGCCCTAAGATTTTATTTTTTTGTTTCTTGTTTTTATTTATTTATTTTTAGGTTTTATATTTCAATTCCAGCATAGTTAACATGCACTGTTATATTAGTTTCAAATGTACAATATAGTCTATGATTCAACACTTCTATACATTACTCAGTGCTCAAGATAAGTGTACCCTTAATCCCCTTCATCTGTTTCACCCATTCCCCAACCCCCCCCCCCCCATCCCCCTCTGGCAACCATTAGTTCTCTATAAAGTGCCCTAAGATTTAAAAAAAAAAAAATTTTTTTTTAATGTTTAGTCATTTTTGAGAGACAGAGACAGAGCGTAAGCAGAGTGGGGCAGAGAGAGGGAGACACAGAATCCGAAGCAGGCTCCAGGCTCTGAGCTGTCAGCACAGAGCCCGACATGGGGCTCGAACTCAAGAGCTGTGAAATCATGACCTGAGCTGAAGTCGGACACTTAACCGACTGAGCCATCCAGGCGCCCCATAAAGTGCCCTAAGATTTTAAATGAACATTTAGAAAGCAGTGCATTGACTCAGCAAATACTGAGCACTAGTACTTTGCTGCGCAAGTGCTATTATTGAGGCTAGGGATAGAACACTCCCTGCCCTCAGGGAGCTCGTATTATATTATACATACTATGGGCAGGTGATAAGCAAATGAACATATCAAAGGTAGTGATAAGTGCTCTAAAGAAAACTGGGACAGAATAAGGAGGATAAGGAGTTGTAGCAGCAGGATCCTATTTTACGGAGAGTGGGAAGAGAAGGCCTCTCCCACAGGAAGTGAACTGTGTCTGGGGGAGCATTCCATGCAGAGGGAACAGCCTCGCAGAAGCCCTGAGGTGGGCGTGTACGTGGTGGTGAGCCAAAGCAAGAAGGCCCAAGAGGGCCAGGATGGCTGGAAAGAGGGAGCGGTGAGATGGCGGGAGAGGAGATCCCAGAGGTGACAGAGTCAAGGGTGCAGGGCCTTGGGGCTTTTGCTCACAGTGAAATGGGGGACCGCTGGAGGCGTTTTGAGGAGAGGAGTGATGTAATTTTTCAAACCTACGAGAAGTTGCAGTAAAATACAAAAGACAAATACATACCTTTCACGTAGATTCACTGTTACCGTTTTGCCACATATGCCCCCCCCCCACGCACACTTCTTTGCTGAATTAGTTGAGAAGTTGCAGACATCCTAAATCTTCGTCTTAAAAACCTTCAGCATATATCTTCTCAGAACAAAGGTATTCTCTGATATAGTCACAGTTGTCAAATTGAGGACATTTAATATTAAGTAAATATTATTATATAATATACAGTCTATATACAGATTTCTCCGGTTGTTCAATAATTGCTTAAATGGCACTTTGTTTTTTCTGCTCCGGAATCCAGTTTAAGATCCCTCTTGATATTTGTTGTCATGGTATTGTCTCTTTCTTCTCCTTACTCTGGAACAGTTTCTCGGCCTTTCTTTGTCTTTCATGACACTGACATTTCTTAAAAGGTAGGACAGCTCTGTAGTGTCCCTCCATTAGGATGGGATTGTTTCCTCAGGAGTAGATTCAAGGTTTACATTTTTGTAGGAACACTAAGTACGTGGTGGTGAGTCCTCCGTGCATCACAAGCGGCGTGTGTTGTCGGTCAGTCTGTCCCGTTGTTGGTGATGTTAGCTTTTATCTCTTAATTAAGATAGATCACATGAAATTTCTCCACTTGTAAAGGTGCTTATTTTCTCTGGCAGAGATAGCTTTGAGTCTCAAAAACATCCAGTTCTCCAACAAACTGTTAACCCGGTGGTTTTACCATCCTTTGATGGTTCTTGCCCGCATTTACTATTTTTAAGGTGTTTAAAAAACCAGCTTGGATTTTTAAAGGACCACTGTGTCTGAAACTTGGAGAAGAGACTGTGGAGAGGATAGGGTGGGAGCAGGGAGACCAGTGAGGAGGCTGGGGCAGTCATCCAGGAAGAGCCGAGGACGGCTTGGCCTGATAGGGTGCTAGAAGGAGAGATGGAGACACATGGCCGAGTCTGCATGTATTTCGAAGAGCCAGCAGGATTAGATGATGGGTATGAGCAGAAGAGAATAGTCAAGGGTGAAGCCAAAGTTTCTGGCCTAAGCAACTAGAACTAAGATGAAACTGTCCTTTACTGGAGATGCCAAGAGGGGCAGGTTTGAGGAGGGAAAGCCAGAGTTTCACTTTGTACATGTCCCATTTCTTGTGTGGATTACAGAGCTTGTCTTTAGGGTCATCTTCAGGTAAAATGCCCCTTGAACTGGAAGGTTCTCAGTGCTTACTAAAGGTCTTCCCTTTGCCAAAGAACAAAAGAATACCATATGCACGTTCTGAGTGGAAATTCCAGAAGCAGCAAAGGAAGAGTCCTCTGTGGAGGACCGGGTCATACTGGAGTTCTGTTCCCTGGCAGGCTTCCTTCCTTGGACCTAAATGGTGACTACAGGCTCATTCTTGCTCTCGACACTCAGCATTTCATCCAGCCTGCCCGACTTTTTGGATTAGTAATGGATAAAGGTGTTCTGCCTGTCCTGCCTCATGAGTCCCAGGAGTCCCTGTCAGAAACCTTGTTTGCTGGCACCAAAGATTGTCCCAGCTCTTCTTCAGCTGAAGCATTGCCAAAGGGATTGCCAGCTCATAAGCTCCTGGTAGGGGTCTCCCACGGGGTGGTGTACAAATGCTGGAGGACAGAGGATTTTGTGGTTCTGCCTGTGAGTCTCTTTCCTAAACGTTGTTTTGGTTTTTGTGCTTTTTGGCTGGTGGGGGTTTATGGCGTTCTTTGAGAGACTGAACCCAAAGGATCTACTTATCAAATCACAAACGAAAAGCTTCTGCCAGGTTTCGTCTTAAAACGCAAACACTGTTCTTTTGAGAAATCCAAAGGTAGAAGAAAGCTTTTATTAAACCACTAAATATGTTAGAATTTTCTAAGTTAAACCTAGTGGAATGGATTTTTTTAAAGATAATTGACTCCTACTTTTGTCATATCCCAACAGTGGCAGTGATTAAAATCAACACACTGGACTCTGTATGTTTGCTGCTGGGTAGCACAAGCCCCAACAACATTAATTAAACAATCACAGTTGAGAGGCAAGCATTTCCTGAGGATCAATAACCGTCTAGAAGGACTTGGAGTACAAAACCCAGCCAGGCACTAATCCTCAGGATATACCTTGTGGCCACTATCATTTTAGGAGCAGGGAAGATGTGTTGACTTAGTTGGAAAATTCTTTCAGCAAGTGACGGAGTTGCAATTGATCTAGCCAGGGTGTTTCCAAACACCATACATCCTCAGCTCCCAGCAGAGTGCCCTGGGTCAGCCAGCTTTCAGTTTAACGTTGGGTTTATGGTAGTAGTTCAGTCACCAGAGCCTGAGCCTTTTTACCTAGGGCAGCACCTCCATGAGAATCCCCTGCTCTCTTTAAGCTAAGCAGAGAACCAATTCTGGGTAGATAAAGTCTGTACGTTGGCATTTTATTATTCATTTCTATGGGCAGTAGTTCTCGAAGTGTGGTCCCTGAGACTCCTCGGGGGTCAAAACTATTTTCATGATAATATTGAAATACTCTGTGCCATCTTCATTCTCCTTCTCTCAAGAGTAACCGGTGGAATTTTCCAGATAATATATGACATGTAACTATGTCATAACTCTGATGGCTTGTGGAGTGTGCACTTGTGTGTTCTGGGGCTTTATAATTTTTCAGCATCCTAGTTTTGTAACGTGCTGTCATTCTATAATTATTTCAAAATTTGAAAGTTTAAGAATTTCTAATATATTAAATATCAACAAATACAATTCACATAAACAAAAGCTCTTTGAGGTCCTTAGTAATTTTCAGAGTGTAACGGGGTCCTCACAGCAGACAGACTGAGAAGTGCTGCTCTAGAACATGGAAATGGGATCAGAGGTTCTTTTCCTGGAGATTATTTACATACTCCCTGCTGTCCACTCCTTGACATGCTCCTTGCTCGAGAGCAAAGGGAAGTGAGCAGACTCTTTACCCGACAGAATGAGATGTCCAGTTTGTTTTGCTTACTTCATCACTCATGGTGTATCTGGGATTTACCTAAAACAGTCTCTGAAGCCTTAAAATTTTTATACACTTCATAAAGATGCAGATTGACACAGGACTAAGGTTCAGGAAAGACCGCTTCTCTAGAGAAGAGTGTCCTTCAGCTTGATTTTAAGAATGAGAGAAGAAAGGGGGTGCCTGGATGGCTCAGTCGGTTGGGTATCCGACTTCAACTCAGGTCATGATCTCACAGTCTGTGAGTTCGAGCCCCGCGTCGGGCTCTGTGCTGACAGCTCGGAGCCTGGAGCCTGCTTCGGATTCTGTGTCTCCCTCTCTCTCTGACCCTCCCCCATTCATGCTCTGTCTCTCTCTGTCTCAAAAATAAATAAACATAAAAGAAAATTTAAAAAAAAAAAAAAGAAAGAAGAAAGTTACCGTTAATCGAGGGATGGGACCTTAACCTCTTTTGCTGCCTCAAAGCTGAACTGTGAGGGTGCATTCTCATGCAGTATTTTTGCTCGTATACTGAGGGGTTTTTTGTTTTTTTTTTTTTTGCCCAGAGTTAACATTTTTTTTACTAAGAAAAATTTAAAATCTGCCCACACCGATTATCTTCCCATCTATTGCAGCCAGTTTTCTAGGCTATGGATACCCTAGTGAATTACAGAGAAAGTTTCCTTTTCTTGAGAGAGAAATTGTAGGCCTGGGAAGATATGTGCCTTCAACAGTGGTGGTTGAGGGGGTTACACATCATAGAAAAGAAGAAGTGAGCATTGCTGTCTATGTCATTGCTTCCTGTGTGGATTTTCTGTGTTAGGCCTGCTGGCAGAATAGCCTAGAAATCTAAACCAACACACTGAAAGTGAAAAGGGGTCTGCTCCAGGCTATGGCGCTGCTCTGCTGGCTAACCTCCAGCACATCCCTTCTTCGGTGTTCTCTTCCCTCCTGTCTTTATCCATCCCGTTCTCAGAACAGGCCAGGGATTGACCTGCTGAAAAATACTTTTTACCTAAATGCCTTTTTCCCCCCCTAGTGTTCTCCTCTCCAATTTAAGTAGATCTGCTTTTTTTCTGATGGTGCCTTCTGTTCAGAGGGCTCTAGCAGACTTACCTGAATACCAGAACTCTCCATGGTGGGGGAGGGGAGACAGGCAGCGTGCACTGGGGGCTGCTCATCTATTCCCATGTGATGACATATTTTATAGGGAGAAATAAAGCCTCCCAGAATAGAATGGTCCGTTGAACACCAAGTGCAAATACTGGTTTTAAGAGAACATTGTCAGCTGTTGCTTTGGCTTTTTAAATTCATGTTAGAAAGCTCACACGAGTTTAATTTGTTCCTGACTTCATCTTTTCCCATTGAACTTGCACTGTAGTTTTCCTCCCTGAGCAAGCCAAGAGTTTATTAAAATTCCGTATTCTGTTCCTTGTCTGTCCTCTTTCCCAATCCTAAACTCCCCTGAAAAATGGCGGGTAATGAGAATTGTTTGTATCATATCGTGGAACACTTTGATGAATGGATTTCAGGGTCTTCAAACTTTATGATTTGTGGGTCGGATTCTATCAAAACATAATAAATGCTGAGCTATCACCTGTAACGTTAATTTGGGCCTAGGTGATTTACACAGCTTTTCTGTAAACTCTAAGAACCCCGTCCCTGTCAGGGAACCTCAGCTATATGGAGTAGGTGGGAGCTGAGTCATTAGTAATTCCTACTTTCCTTGAATATTTTGGTAACATGTTGGAGGGGGCACAGCTGATTGTCCTAAAACACATGTATCCAGAATGTGCATGTTAACCTGCAAATTTTACCTTTTTTGTCCTTTCTCTTACCTTTCCTCTCAATTTCCTAGGGTGATATCCATGAGGATTTTTGCAGCGTTTGCAGAAAAAGTGGCCAGTTGCTTATGTGTGACACGTGTTCCCGTGTGTATCATCTGGACTGCTTAGACCCTCCTCTGAAAACGATTCCCAAGGGCATGTGGATCTGTCCCAGATGTCAGGACCAGGTATGGACTCTGGGTGGGTCAGTCAGAGAGACGGGCTGAGGAAGAGACAGTGCGGTCAGGAGGACCTCTGTTCCCCTCTGCTGTGGGGGGCGTGGCAGAGTCTCTTCCCTCTCCTGGTAGTTTCGCAGGCCACCTCTGGCCTGTTCATGGCACCGCACCCACCCACACGGTGTCCATCCTCTCAAGGATCTCTGTCCTGTACTGAGGTGGTGATTCTTGTATGGGTGGAAAGACCCTAACTGCTTCCCTTTGTTCGAAATGACTTATCTTCTCATGACCTTGCCCCGTCAATGCCATGACTTTCTGCCCCTTTCTCTAAGAATGTGGTTTTGAGACTCTTCTTTTAGAAGTAAAACCCTTACAGGAAAGTCCCCAATTGATTGTTTAATTCAAATAACAACAGTTTCACCTTTCACCTGTATTGTCACCAGGATAAGAGAACTCACCGTAGAGTGGCTATTGCATGGACTTGAAAGCAAACATTAACTGTCCTAGCCTCTTCCTTTCTTCTCTGCTTAGTTTCCGGTCTCTTTCTCTCAACTATCCACGTACCTTTATGTTTTTATTATAAGCTGTCTCAGCCTGTTTTGGAAGTCGGCAAAGTATAAATAACGAACAGGCCCGAAAGCTCAGCGAGCTTTGGGATGCTTCTTGGTTCTTTGGAATCCTGTTTGGGAGAATCCTGGTTTCCCGCCTTTAATCTTGGTCCTCCTCCTCCTGTCTTCATGACGTGGTGGAGACCGTTCTCTTTTGTTCTCTTCCTGACACTGCTCTGTGACCCTCTGATAATTTTTTACACAAGATCTAGATTATACTTAACTATTTGGAACTGATATGTAATTTCTTTGGTCAGCCTGCCTTTGAGGGAAATATGAAACTAAAATTGAGACAGGAGGGGCACCTGGGTGGCTCAGTCGGTTGAACATCCGACTTCAGCTCAGGTCATGATCTCAGGGTTCGTAAGTTCGAGTCCCATGTCGGGCTCTCTGCTGTCAGCAAGGAGCCTGCTTCGGATGCTCTGTCCCCCTCCCCCCCCCCCCGCCCCCCGCCTCTGTATCTCTCTCTCTCTGTCTCCCTCTCAAAAATAAATAAACATTAACAAAAAAATTGAAATTGAGACAGGCGGATCAAGGCCGAAACTGCCAGTGGCTGCTGCCATGGTGCAGGCTTGTAGCTTATATGCTGGTGGTTCTGGTTGTCAGAGCACTTGGGTGTTATGTGGCACATATGAGGAGATAGGAATGCCCAGCCACGTCCCAGCCTCTTTTTAAACTGGGGCTCGGGTGGCTTGACTTCTTCCCACCATTGAACCTCATTCTGTCAGACTGGTATCTGGAACTTCAGGGGTTTTGCAAGCCTGTCACCATAAATCCTTCCTGGATTTTGTCTGCCAGTTGCTACAGACATGTTGCTTGTTGCTGCACAGGGGATGTGTGTTTATACCTCCTTTCAAGGTAAAATTCTAAACTTCATTTCAGATGCTGAAGAAGGAAGAAGCAATTCCATGGCCCGGAACTTTAGCAATTGTTCATTCCTATATCGCCTACAAAGCAGGTAAAGAATCATCCACATCCTCTTTTGTGGTAAGCCTCCCCTTGCTTAAAAAAATGTACTAGAAGGCAGCGTTTGTTTTGTTTTCAGAAGGAAATTTGAGGTTAAAAGTGAAAAGCTTTTACTGAAAAAAATGAAAAGCTTATATAGTACTTTTCTTGGGGAGGAAAAATGAGAAAGCCACATCTTATTTATGTACAGCCAAGCCCACACCACTGCGATCTGTCTTAGCATACCTGTACGCATAAAAAGGAAGGTCTGGGGGTGCCTGGGTGGCTCAGTCTGTTGAGCATCTGGCTCTTGATTTTGGCTCAGGTCATGATCTTGTGGTTTGTGGGTTCGAGCCCTGTGTCGGGCTCTGTGCTGACAGATGGATCCTGCTTAGGATTCTCTGTCTGCTTCTCCCCAGCTTGTGCACACACTTTCTCTATTTCTCTCAAAATAAATAAACTTTTTTTTTTTTCAACGTTTTTTTTAAATTTATTTTTGGGACAGAGAGAGACAGAGCATGAACGGGGGAGGGGCAGAGAGAGAGGGAGACACAGAATCGGAAACAGGCTCCAGGCTCCGAGCCATCAGCCCAGAGCCCGACGCGGGGCTCGAACTCACGGACCGCGAGATCGTGACCTGGCTGAAGTCGGACGCTTAACCGACTGCGCCACCCAGGCGCCCCAAACTTTTTTTTTTTTTTTTAAAGGCAAGGTCTAGGTGGGCATGTTCTGCACAGTGACTGTGGAGGTCAGGGGGAGCTTTGGGCAAAATACCTTCTTTGGTCAGCATTTTGAACACAGTGGCCTTTTCAAAGAATGTATTGTTAAAAACAATTCCTTTTTTTTTTTTTTTCCCAGCAAAAGAAGAAGAGAAACAGAAATTACTTAAATGGAGTTCAGACTTAAAACAAGAGCGAGAACAACTAGAGCAGAAGGTGAAACAGCTCAGCAATTCTATAAGTGTAAGTAAAGTAAGCTCATCCCTTTGGCGGTGGGCGCAGATACGGTCCCTTTCACCCGCATGACAGTACTTGGGGCTCCCCAGGGCCCTTTCAAGGCCCTCCAGCTTATCGCCACAGTTAACTTGGGCAGACACCAAGTTTGCCTCCAGTTACAGTTTTGGCCCTGAGGACAGGTAGCCGGTTAGTAGATGGTGCCCTGGAACCTCCTGTGGGCTTTGATCGGAGAGTGGATTTTCGGTCTCAGGGCTGAAGATGCGAAGCAGCAGCTCCCGCAGTGTGGCCATCAGCCCTGTGTGTTCTCGAGCCGAAAGGGTTTGGGAGGGGTATGGAGCCTCTCCCGACGCCGGGCCGACACAGATCCGGTCCCTGCATAGAAGCCTTTCTCACTGTCCTAGTTAGTGGTCTTTCCGCATGGCCCTCCCATCCCGTCCTTTCTTCCACACCCTGCTGATTGCGTCTCCAGGTGTTGCTGACCCGCCTGAGGAAGAGAGGATCCTGGAGACAAGTACTGGAAATAAATATTGCCCAGCCTGGCCTGTCCAGGTGGGAACCAGGGGTGTATTTGCAGCGGAGATTCTGAGGCCCCTCCAAAGCAAGTTTTATTTCTCAATGAGTAGGTCGCCCTCCCCTTGTTGGAGTGAGGTAGCTTCAGCCCTCACGGACACCAGGTAGTACCCTGAACTTGGTGACAGTTGAGCTGTCCCATTCAGCTGCTTTCCCCTCATCACCATACTACCCATGGCATGTAGCTTTCACATCCCTTTCCCTGCCCAGAACAGAAGCCAGCAGCTGTGGGAGACCTTGGGCAAAAGGACAAAAAACCACAAGTCCGTGACCGAGCCGAAGGGTTTCTGTTGGCTGTAGTCTTTGATTCTCCCAAACATCACCGTGCTACCCCAGGCCCTGCCTCTGAATTCTTGCTGACTGGGCGATCCTCAATAGGCCCTCACATTGGATCCGGACACCACCATTGGCTCATTCGTTCCCTGTCCTGGATAGCTCAGTCCCGTCCTGAACGTATTAGCACCCATTTGCATACCAAACAAAACCTGCCCAAACCAGCTTCAGCGCAGCTCTGGGAATGTTGTTTTAAATGACTTTTATTTTGTAGTCCTAGAGCGGCAATTCACATGGGGCTTTAAGTCCTAGTGTCAAGCAGGGTTGGTTGGCTTCTAAACCACTCACTTGCCCTCTCCCTCCCGCCTGTGGGGCCTCCTCCTCCCCGTGGGTGGCGGGTGGCGTGGCTTCAGAGGCCCCTCCAGTGCAGCGCAGAGCAAGGGGCAGGGGCTGCGCCCAAGCCAGCAGGTTCTTTTACCCGGAGAGGGCTGCCAGGCCTGTCGGAACAGCCACAGAGGCTCAGCGCCACTGCCCTTCTCATTTGCTGCAGAAATGCATGGAAATGAAGAACACCATCCTGGCCCGGCAGAAGGAGATGCACAGCTCCCTGGAGAAGGTAAAACAGCTGATCCGCCTCATCCACGGCATCGACCTCTCCAAACCCGTAGACTCTGAGGCCACTGTGGGGGCCGTGTCCAACGGCCCGGACTGCACCCCCCCTGCCATTGCCGCCACCTCCACGCCGGCCCACTCCCCCTCCTCCCAGAGCTGCACAGCGAACTGTACCCAGGGGGATGAGACTAAATAACAGAGCCCCGCGAGGAGAAGCCACGGGATCCCGGCGGCAAGGAGAGCAAAAACACTGAAGACTCTAGAAAAGCAAAGCCGGATTTCTTCTGGAAAGTACAGAATTCTTTTGGTTCTTTGGTTCCAGAGAGAGAGAAGATGCTTGTGCCAGGTGGCACCAGAGTTTGCCAATTGATCCTTCTTGTTCTGTGTGTACATGCAAAGATTGGACCATGTTACATGAAATAGTGCCAGCTGGAGGTTCTTTGCCAGCATCATGCCAAGTGAAATAATATATTTACTCTCTCTATTATACACCAGTGTGTGCCTGCAGCAGCCTCCACAGCCACCATGGGTTTGTTTCTGTTTTGTTGGGTGGGGAGCAGGGACGGGCGGAGGGAGGAGAGCAGGTTTCAGACCCTTATTTGCGGAGCCGTTTGTTTAGGTAGAGAAGACGAGTCCAAAGAGTGTGTGGGCTTTCCTGTTTCTAAACTTTCACTACTATAAAACCAAAAAAAAAAAAAAAAAAAAAAAGGAAATCGAGATTTAACCAACCCCAGTGCCCAGAGGAGGGATGGGAGGGAATGGGAGGGAGCCAGGAGGGTGGGAAAAATATATCAAGTAAGCAGTATTTCCTATCGCCTGGGGAGGGGCACGGTACACGGAGAGGTGGACGGCAAGAACAAGGTTCTTCTCCCGCGCGCTCTGCTTCCTTCCGTGGGCGCCCCCACCGCTCCCCGCGTTCCTTCCCTGCTTTGGCAAATTGGCGCGCATCCCCGTGGATGATCCGGTTACCTTCCCTCTCCAAGAACGAGCAGAGCAGGCCCGGCCTCGGCTGGCCATTGCCCGGGCAGGGAAGAAGGGTGTGTGTGTCGAGGAAGGAAAAAAGGTGGATCAGTGATTTTTACTTGAAAACAAGCTCCATCCCTTTTCTATATTTATAAGAAGAGAAGATTCTGAGCGAAGCAGCACGCGACCCAGGTGTGTGTGAATTGAATGGAGATGTTTCTTTCCTCTTTTTTTAAGTTTTTGTTGTTGCTTTTGTTTTTCTTTAAGAAAAAGTTTTATTTTGTTGTTTACTTTACTTTTTTGGTAACAAAAACTAAAATAAGGAATAGAAAAGCTGTTTTTCAGGCTGACAGTCAATTAAGGGTAGTCGAGGCCGTGCATGGTAGAATAGGAATCATAGTGTCAGTGAGGTCCAGTGAGTCCGTGTGAGTCCTGTGTCATCGTTCGGGGCACTGTTTTTATGCAAGGGCAAAAATCTTTGTATCTGGGGAAAACAACAACAACTTTTTTTTAAATTAAAAAGGAAAATAAAAGATATTGAGGTCTTCCTAGTGTTACTTAAATTAAGATCAAGGTAAGAAACATTGTAAAAAAAAATTACAAAAGTGCTATTTGTTTCCTAAAAACAGTGATTTCTATTAAAAAGGTGTCAGAACTGGAGAAAATGCTGTGTAGTTATAATTTTTTAGCACAGAACCTGCTGATCATGATGACATTTTGCTGTGTTTGTGTCTCAAGACTGGTGGGCTAGTCTCCATGACTTCTGTCCTCTGGACGCTGCGGCCTTGAGGGGCAGCACGAGCCCTCCCACCACTCTCCCCTCCTTGGAAAGGACTGTCCTCCCTTCTTGGAGCAGGGGTCTGGGCTTCTGTTTTCAAAGCTCAGCTGGAGTGTGGACGGTATCAGGGCCCTACCCTGCCCATTTGTCTCCTCGGATTTTGCTAGAGCAAAAGGCTGGTGCCTAAATAAGATCCCTTCCTTTGGTGCTGCTTTCAGTCTTTCAGCCACCAGCATTGTGAGTGCCTGGGGGACAACTTTGAAGGACTTGGCCAGTGACTGCTAGCCTTGGCGAGGGAGGGTGCAGGGGGCAGGCTGGCTGCATCAGCCCTTGGTGCTTAGAATGAACAAAGGAGCGAGAAGTCTTGAGGGTGTGTGGGGTCTCTGAGACAAAGAGCCCCAGGGTGGCCTTTGTGTCTGTCTTGCCTTTGGAGAGGTCTGAATCTCCAGCCGAATTCTCTGCCTGCTGGCTTCGGGTACAGGAGACGGAGTTTACTGCCCTTTGCACATTCACAAGCTTCCTGGGTGACCTGTGGCTGGAATCCCTGTGCTTGCCTTGGCTCGGCCGGTCTCCTTGAGAAAACCAGGGTTCTGAAAGACTTGGATCATGTCTGTCATCTTGCCTCGTGGGAAGTAAATTTGTCACGTGTGTGCTCCCGCCGGAGATCTTGGCCCCGTCGCATGCCTGGGCCCACAGAAGGAAGGCAGGCGCTCTGTGCCCCAGCCCTCCCGGGACCTCTTCTCTCAAGCCCGCCCCCTACTCCATAATGGCCAGGGTCTAGGAGGGGCGGACGAGGCCATGTTACTTTCTCCCTCACCCACTTAGGCCCAGAAATCCCAGTTAGAAACCTGAAAGCAAATGCAAGAGAAAGAGACACTTCTTAGGTCAAATATGCCTCATCCCTACTGGCCATTTCATCTTGGGGTGAAGGGTGGCTACACAGGCCTCAGAGTCCGACCCTGGCTGCAAAGTTGCCTGAGGGGGACAGAGGAGCTCCCTTTTCTCCTGCAGAAACCAAGGTGCTACGACTAGTCAGGGAGCTTTGGAGATGCCTGGACTAGTTGGAGGAATAGTTGGCGGAGGTTCAGAGCCCAGCAGCAGGCTGTGCGCCCGCTCTTAAGCTCTCGCATTTGACTTGTCCGGGCCACACGATACCTATCTTTTCTTGAAAGAAGTTCGGAAACGATCATCACTAGGGGCCTTTGCTCAGAAAGGAGCCGCCTGAGAATTGTCAGGGTGGCAGGGGGGACAGCGGTGAGGGTAGAGCTAGGACTCGGCCAGTATTTTGCCTGTTGTGAGTACTCACACCCTCGCCTCGTCCGGGGTTGGGGTATGGATTCTTCCTAAAGTGCAGCTAGGAGCTGTCAGTGTGGAGTACAAAATGCAACCCTGCCCCCAAACCCACAGTCTAGACTCAAATTCCAAAACTCTACTTACTGCCATCAGAAGGCCCCGGTCACCCCATCTCCTTTTCCTTTATTGTCCTGCCAAGAGACAATGTGTCTGTGTCCCCCAGACCTGTGGGTGCTTGTGACGACCTGAGACACACGGTCATGACTGCCTCACCTGGGCTGTCTCCACTTCCCTCTTTCTCCTTCCCTCTGCCGCTCGTTCCCCACGACCGGGTTTAGCTGCTCACAAGGCACATCTCAGACCAGCTGGCTTTGCAATCACTTCAGGGGCCAGGGAGGGGCTGGTCTGGGACTGGGAGGAGGCTGCCCTCGAGCCGCTGGCCCTGGCCGGCCCCGGTGGCATGGGCACTGCACCCCGGAGGCAATGAGGTCACGTTGCGGTCATCTCCCACCTCCCAGTCTTGCCAATGCCGCCCGCGGGGCCTTCTTCTTTCGTGGGGCCTGCTGGGTCTTGTCTCACCTCTGCTGAGCTCATCCAGAGTTCTGTTTCTCCCTTCCTTATCAGGCCCTTGGGGGCAGCCGGGCTGGGGGCAGCCCCTGGTGGGGCCATCCCTGTGTGGGGCTGCCACACGGCGGCCGCAGCCCCCAGCTGGCACCGTCCCGAGTGCCCGGTTGCCCTGCAGGGCCTGCCTGTCCCTGCCTCTTCTTGGCTCAGGCTCAACAGGCAGCATGAACGGGCACAACTGCCGCCCCCAGGCCTCCCCGTAAAGGAGGGTGACTGTGTCCAGCTCACCCAGTCTGCGTGTACAGCTGCCCCTCCAGCCATCTCTGATACTTCCTCTTGGGACCAGTGGAGCCCCTCTGGGCTCTCGCTCCCAATCTCTACGCGGTTTCCTCCCTCCACTCCCTTCTGGGGTGTGGTCTTTCTTATTTATCCAAAGGGCTTAATTTAGGAGACTTTTACCCCAGGGGTAAAAGGCTCTTCTGGGTAGTAGGATGGACGGTGGGCCCAGGTGTTTTCCAGGCCCTGAGTTCTCCAGATTCCACGGCTTCCGCTGGATGGGGGCAACTCTGCTCTGCGTGAATGACTGTGGGCCTCACCCCCACCCCTCAGCTGGGCACCCTTGGCAGGAAACAGGAGACCCATTTTCACCTTGACTTACAGCCGTCCTCAGTGCCAGCTCCTCTCCAAGGGAGGGGGCGGCCCCTGAGAAGATTCCTCTGGCCCTCTGGCAACAGTGAAGGGGAGGAAGCTGGGGGTCGCCCCCTCCAGAGAGCCAGGGCGGAACTCTTAAAAATAGCCCTCGTAGAGGAAGGGCAGGGCTCACAAATTCCACTTTGCTCCCCCCTCCCAGAAGCCCTTCCTCCCTGAGGACTCCGCCATCCCCCACAGCAGTCTCTGGCCCCTGCACCTCTGTGTCGTTGGGTCCTCAGCCCAGGGTAAGCTGCAGTCAGGCAGGACAGGATGGGCAGCCAGAGGTCAGCAAGCTCCGAGCAGAAAAGAGCCAGCCAGCCCCCAATCCTGTCTCTTGTCCACGCCCTTTGTGATTTCAGTCTTGGTAGAACTTGTATTTGGAGTTTTGTGCTTCAAAGTTTTTGTTTTTGTTTGTTTCATTTTTGTTTTGAGGGGGTGGGGGGGGATCCAGAGCAGCTGATCAATTTGTATTTATTTATTTTAACATTTTACTAAATAAAGCCAAATAAAGTCTCTCAGCCTCATGGTGTTGGGTCTGGGGCAGGGGAGGGTGGGCCTCCGGGGGAGGGTCCGGGCCCCACTGCGACTCCAGGGAGACGCCGCACCTTCCCGGCTGACCCACACCCTCATGCCCCCAAACCAGAAGGAACGTGCAAAAGGGCTTTAAAACCTTTTAATTACGAAAAAGAGATGTACAGATGAAGCTAGGGGAACCAGCCCCCAAACCACTGGGGCAGAGTGAGACTAGACCCCAGCCATAGCAGCACGGGGAGGCCCCCAGGACCCACCCCACAGGTGCTCCAACTGAAGCCCTTTCCACTGAGACCTTCAATAATTTAAATAGCAGGGAGGGTGGGATGGGTGGCAAGGCTGCTCCAGTGTCTGCAGGGAGCGTGTGAGAGCCAAGGTGGGGGTGGGGGGCGAGGCAGGGGGGAGCCACTGCAGGCCCAGCCTGGGGGGGTCAGGTGGGGCCTGGGGGGTGCTGCAGGGCAGTGAGGTATTTGAGGGCAGCAGCCCCGTAGTGACGGGACAAGTCCTGGTGGAACTCGTCCTTCAGGGCCTGGAGGCAGTCACGATAGGCGGGGCTGGAGCGGAAGCGAGAGATGTCCAGGCTCGGGGCATGTGGCAGGTGGATGGTGAAGGCCTCGGGCAGCACCAGGAGCTCATATTCCTGCAGGGGTGGGAGGCAGATGGACATTCTGGGCTGAGGGGAAGATTACAGCTCTGGGGGGACGGGGGGGGGGGGG